ATATCATTTCTCCGTCATAATCGGTTGTTTCCGTGAACGGCCGACTATTGAGTGACGGCAAATGCTGCGGCTGCAATGCATTGTGGGGCAGCATTTTCTCCTCTCCTTTCGGTTAGGGAGGTCCAGTGGTTCCTAAGCTAAAGGAGGTTATAAAGGAAGTTTCTCCACTGAGATCCATCATCTAGTTTCAGGTGGCCTGTGGAACTGCCAGTCAGCTGTTCCTAAGGCTGACTTCATCTCTGGCTACGCCTCCCTGCAGTCTCTGGATTTCCTTGCTCTCACTGAGACCTGGATTACTCCATCCAACACATCCACCCCAGCAGCTCTCTCCACTGCATATTCCTTCTCCCATACACCCAGACCCACTGGCAGAGGAGGTGGCACTGGTCTCCTGCTCTCTCCCAAATGGAGCTTTTCCCTCTTCAAGCTACCTAACTTTACTCCTTCCACCTTTGAATTCCATGCCGTCACAGTAACCCATCCTATACAGTTAACCATTGTTGTTCTCTACCGTCCACCAGGCGCCTTGGGGGACTTCTTGGAGGAATTAGATCATCTCCTCTCACACATCCCTGAAACTGGCCCTCCCGCTGTACTTCTCGGAGACTTCAACCTCCAGATGGGGAAGATAGACGAACTAACATCTCTGTTAACCGCCTTTACTTTCACACTGTCTCCGTCCCCACCGACTCATAAAGCTGGCAATGTCCTTGATCTCATATTCTCAAGGAACTGCGCTACTTCTAACCTCTCTGTAAACCCGCTCCACACATCCGATCACTTCTTCATTTCATTCTCTCTATCCCTTTCCAAACATAACAAACTAATCTCTTCCCATCCTACACTTGTCCGCCGTAACCTTCGCTCCCTCTCTCCCTCTACCTTTGCCTCGTCGGTGCTCTCAGCCCTCCCTTCCTCTGATTCGTTCCATCTCCTGCCTCCAAACTCTGCTGCAGAAACTCTCCTCTCTACTCTCTCATCCACTCTGGACTCGCTCTGTCCTCTGACATCTCGGCAGGCTCGTCAGTCCCCTCCGGCTCCCTGGCTAAATGATGCACTGCGTGCTAATAGAACCGTCCTTAGGGCAGCAGAGCGGAAATGGTGGAAATCCAAACACCGTGACGACCTCCTAACCTATCAAGCTCTCCTCTCCTCTTTCTCTGCTTCCATCTCTCAGGCAAAAAGCACTTTCTTTCAAGATAAGATCCAATCTTCCTATTCCAATCCTAAAAAACTATTTTCCATCTTCTCCACCCTCTTGGACCCTCCAAAAGCTCCTCCCCCCTCCTCACTTCTGTCAAGCGACTTTGTTACCCACTTTGAAAAAAAGGTTAATGATATTCGCTCTTCTTTTTCTGACTCACCTTTACTCACCGCTGGGTCACCAGACCCTCCTTCCACCAACACACTAACCTCCTTTTCCCCTCTCTCTCCAAGTGAGGTTCTTACCCTCATTACCTCTGCCCGCCCTACCACCTGTCCTCTGGACCCTATCCCTTCAAACCTCCTTCAGAGTATCGCTCCTGATATTCTACCGTTTCTCACCCATTTCATCAACACTTCTCTAACTTCTGGTCACTTTCCAAACAGTCTCAAGGAGGCAAGAGTAAACCCTCTCCTAAAGAAACCCACTCTCAACCCGTCTGATGTTATAAACTACAGGCCTGTCTCTCTCCTCCCGTTCCTGTCTAAATCACTTGAACGCGCTGTCTTTAAACAACTCTCCTGTTATCTCAATCAGAACAACCTTCTGGATCCGCACCAGTCTGGTTTCAAGGCAGGTCACTCCACAGAAACTGCTCTCATTGCTGTCACGGAGGAACTGCACACTGCTAAAGCAGCCTCCCTCTCCTCTGTCATCATCCTGTTGGACCTGTCTGCTGCATTCGACACGGTGAATCATCAGATCCTCCTTCGCACTCTCCAAAAACTTGGAGTTTCAGGCTCTGCACTTTCCCTCCTCACCTCATACCTGAAAGACCGTACCTACAGGGTGACTTGGAGAGGGTCTGAGTCCGACCCTTGTCAATTAACTACGGGGGTCCCTCAGGGCTCTGTTCTTGGTCCCCTCCTCTTCTCCTTGTACACAAACTCGCTCGGATCAGTCATTAGCCCGCATGGTTTTTCTTACCACTGCTACGCTGACGACACCCAATTAATTCTGTCCTTTCCCCGCTCAGAGACCCAGGTCGTCGCACGCATCTCTGCTTGTCTAGCTGACATCTCTCAGTGGATGTCTGCTCACCACCTCAAACTCAACCTTGACAAGACTGAGCTGCTCTTCCTCCCGGGAAAAGATTGTCCAACTCTTGACCTGACAATCAACATCGGCACCTCAGTTGTTTCCCCGACTCAGACTGCAAGGAATCTGGGTGTGACCCTAGATAACAACCTGTCCTTCACTGCAAACATCGCTGCTACAACCCGCTGCTGCAGATACACGCTTTACAACATCAGGAAGATACGTCCCCAGCTGACTCAGAAAGCGACTCAGGTTCTGGTCCAGGCTCTCGTCATCTCACGCCTAGACTACTGCAACTCCCTCCTGGCTGGTCTACCTGCATGTGCCATCCGACCTCTGCAGCTCATCCAGAATGCAGCGGCTCGTCTGGTTTTCAACCTTCCTAAATTCTCCCACACCACTCCGCTCCTCCGCTCCCTTCACTGGCTTCCGGTAACTGCTAGAATCCACTTCAAGACACTGGTACTTGCTTACCGTGCTGCGAATGGATCTGGCCCTTCCTACATCCAGGACATGGTTAAACCGTACACCCCAGCGCGTGCACTACGCTCTGCATCAGCCAAACGACTCGTTGCGCCCTCGCTGCGAGGGGGACCCAAGTTCCCATCGGCGAAAACACGTGGGTTTGCTATCCTGGCTCCAAGATGGTGGAATGAGCTCCCCATTGACATCAGGACGGCAGATAGCTTGCACATCTTCCGGCGCAAACTGAAAACTCATCTCTTTCGACTCCACTTCGAGCGTTAGAACGATTAACGAAGCACTTTTATACCAATAAAGGACTGGATTACCTAAAGCCAGTTGAGTAGCACTTGAAATGTTTGGCTCTATGAAACCTGATATACTTATATGATTCTGTTTTCTTCAAGGTTGTGTCTTCCTGGTCGAATGTACTTATTGTAAGTCGCTTTGGACAAAAGCGTCAGCTAAATGCAATGTAATGTAATGTAAAAAAGTTTGAAACCTCCTTTCCTTTCATTTGGAGAATTGGAACGGCACTTATCATGGCTGCCAGTGAGGGACTTCCGGGTCATTTCACTCCGTTAGGAAGGTTCCTAAGCTAAATGGACTATTGGAATGGGCCCCAGCTCTCTCGTCTCCTCTTCACACACCACACTTTTTGCGGCACACATATTTACAGCCAATCAGCTCTGAATGATGTGAGATGACGTATGGTGGGGATGGCAGCTCTATGCCCTTATGGTCATTATTTTTTTGCCACACACATTAAATAGGAAAATACTCTGAGCATGCGCAGTGTAGTTTTTACAGTCACCGTTCACTTAGACAGTGAGAGGGAGGGGCAGGATCGGGTTTTGTCCCACATGGCTCTAAACAGCTCAATAGGCACACACTGTAGACACTCATTAGAAGAACACAGACTAAAACAGCAATGAGACGAATCAGACGATTAAACATGATCTTAAAATATATTTAATATATATTTTTATTTATGTTTTGCATTTTGTTGTAATCATTATTTTTAATACTTTCTGCTGACACTAGGTGGGGCTGTGCCCCCCTTTATTCTGAAGGCTGTGTTCACAGAGGGGCATTTATTCTGAAGGCTTTTTCCTCAGCGAGGCTTTTATTCTGAAGGCTGTGTCCCGAGAGAAGCTTTTATTCTGAAGGCTGTGTCCCAAGAGAGGCTTTTATTCTGTAGGCTGTGTCCCAAGAGAGGCTTTTATTCTGAAGGCTGTGTCCCCAGAGGGGCATTTATTCTGAAGGCTTTTTCCTCAGCGAGGCTTTTATTCTGAAGGCTGTGTCCCGAGAGAAGCTTTTATTCTGAAGGCTGTGTCCCGAGAGAAGCTTTTATTCTGAAGGCTGTATCCTCAGAGATGCTTTTATTCTGAAGGCTGTGTCCCGAGAGAAGCTTTTATTCTGAAGGCTGTGTCCCGAGAGAAGCTTTTATTCTGAAGGCTGTGTCCCGAGAGAAGCTTTTATTCTGAAGGCTGTGTCCCGAGAGAAGCCTTTATTCTGAAGGCTGTGTGCTCGGAGAGGCTTTTATTCTGAAGGCTGTGTTCACAGAGGGGCATTTATTCTGAAGGCTGTGTGCTCGGAGAGGCTTTTATTCTGAAGGCTGTGTCCTCAGAGAGGCTTTTATTCTGAAGGCTGTGTGCTCGGAGAGGCTTTTATTCTGAAGGCTGTGTCTCAAGAGAGGCTTTTATTCTGTAGGCTGTGTCCCAAGAGAGGCTTTTATTCTGAAGGCTGTGTCCCCAGAGGGGCATTTATTCTGAAGGCTTTTTCCTCAGCGAGGCTTTTATTCTGAAGGCTGTGTCCCGAGAGAAGCTTTTATTCTGAGGGCTGTGTCCCGAGAGAAGCTTTTATTCTGAAGGCTGTGTCCCGAGAGAAGCTTTTATTCTGAAGGCTGTATCCTCAGAGAGGCTTTTATTCTGAAGGCTGTGTCCCGAGAGAAGCTTTTATTCTGAAGGCTGTGTCCCGAGAGAAGCTTTTATTCTGAAGGCTGTATCCTCAGAGATGCTTTTATTCTGAAGGCTGTGTCCCGAGAGAAGCTTTTATTCTGAAGGCTGTGTCCCCAGAGAAGCTTTTATTCTGAAGGCTGTGTCCCGAGAGAAGCTTTTATTCTGAAGGCTGTGTCCCGAGAGAAGCCTTTATTCTGAAGGCTGTGTGCTCGGAGAGGCTTTTATTCTGAAGGCTGTGTTCACAGAGGGGCTGTTTTTGTATAGTGCTCTGTGAGATCTTTGCTCTTATGTTTGGAATAAAATAAGAACACAGATAGGAATACATGAAGACGGGACTTTGTTTCCGACCGGACATTTTTCACAAAAGGACCCTAAGCCTCTTATCTGATTGGCTACACCAACCGCCAATGAACATAATGAAAAGGAGGAGAAGAGCTCTGATTGGCTGCCTCACAGCGTCTGCAGAACGGAGAAGGAGAAGAAGAAGAAGCTAATGGCGGGTTTGTTCCAGTGAAGGAAATGTGTTCCGTTTAATTCATTTAGAGATTTGACTCCATTTCGTGTTTTGAGAAACGGCGACAAAATGGCGACTTTAGTCCTGGATAACGGAGCTTATAGCGCGAAGATCGGCTTCAGTCAGGAGACAGTGCGGTGAGTTCAGAGGGGTTAGCGAGGTGGCTAACTGCTAACAATAACACCAATACTAATACAGCTTTATGTACAGTAGAATAAGAAGTACTCAGATCTTGTACTTGATTAAAATTAGAAGTACCAGAGTATAAGAATACAACTCTAGAGACACTACATACTGATATACACCTGAACATCAGCAGGAGAGGACTCTTTAAAGTAGAGACACTACATACTGATATACACCTGAACATCAGCAGGAGAGGACTCTTTAAAGTAGAGACACTACATACTGATATACACCTGAACATCAGCAGGAGAGGACTCTTTAAAGTAGAGACACTACATACTGATATACACCTGAACATCAGCAGGAGAGGACTCTTTAAAGTAGAGACACTACATACTGATATACACCTGAACATCAGCAGGAGAGGACTCTTTAAAGTAGAGATGCTACATACTGATATACACCTGAACATCAGCAGGAGAGGACTCTTTAAAGTAGAGACACTACATACTGATATACACCTGAACATCAGCAGGAGAGGACTCTTTAAAGTAGAGACACTACATACTGATATACACCTGAACATCAGCAGGAGAGGACTCTTTAAAGTAGAGACACTACATACTGATATACACCTGAACATCAGCAGGAGAGGACTCTTTAAAGTAGAGACACTACATACTGATATACACCTGAACATCAGCAGGAGAGGACTCTTTAAAGTAGAGACACTACATACTGATATACACCTGAACATCAGCAGGAGAGGACTCTTTAAAGTAGAGACACTACACACTGATATACACCTGAACATCAGCAGGAGAGGACTCTTTAAAGTAGAGACACTACATACTGATATACACCTGAACATCAGCAGGAGAGGACTCTTTAAAGTAGAGACACTACATACTGATACACACCTGAACATCAGCAGGAGAGGACTCTTTAAAGTAGAGACACTACATACTGATACACACCTGAACATCAGCAGGAGAGGACTCTTTAAAGCATATTTTCCTGCTGGTATGAATGTGTAGTGTTCCTCAGTGTGACTCTCTCTCGCTCTCTCTCTTTCTCTCTCAGTGTCATCCCAAACTGTCAGTTTCGCTCGAAGACGTCGAGATTGAAAACGTTCACAGCCAATCAACTGGATGAGATCAAAGATCCCTCAGGACTCTTTTACATCCTCCCTTTCCAGAGGGTAACACACACAGTCGAGCTGTAGAGGCTTCTGAAGTCGGGTCACGTTGTGACTGTTTAAAAAAGACATGTTGTCATGGTTTCTCGTCTCTCTCTTCAGGGGTATCTGGTGAACTGGGACGTCCAGAGGAAGGTTTGGGATCATCTGTTTGGGAAAGAGATGTTTAAGGTTTGCTTATTTTTCTTTGTCCAATGTGTCACTTAAAGTGAACCGTAAGAGGCCTTATTGTGTTCCTGGAGTGTGTTCTGCAGGTGCATGATAATGGTCTGCTAAGCTAACATCCCTGTATTCCCTCCAGAGGGAGTTTCTCTCTCTCTAGTCGATGTTGATCCTTCACCTCCTCTCTGCATCTGGAAACAGGTCGAGGCGAGTCAGAAACCCTTGACTAACGACAGAGGCTTTTTTTAATTTGAGAAACATACTAAAACACCACGACATAATGTAATGGCCGGCTGTGGCTTAGTGGGGTAGTGCGCTGACCTGGAGAGCACTGGTTCAATCCCCACTGCAGTCAGCATGTCGTTGTGTTCTTGGGCAAGACACTTCAGCCCAAAGCGTCTAATAAGTGCCATGTAGTGTAATGTGATGCGTTTCCCTGCAGGTGGACTTTGCGGACACCAGCGTCATCATCACAGAGCCCTACTTCAACTTCTCCTCCATCCAGGAGTCCATGAACGAGATCCTGTTCGAGGAGTACCAGTTCCAGTCGGTTCTGCGGACCAACGGTGAGTCCAGCAGCAGAAACACACTTCCTGTTCACAGCACGTTATTTAATAATTCAACTATTTATTAAAGCTCATCCCCAGCAGGCTGGAACATCAGGCACACTTCAGAGGGTATTAATAACCACCAGGAACCCTTCCAGTGAAAACTGACTGTACCTGTGTGTTTACATTTAAAGCTCCTCTTGAGGTTATCATGTAGTGCAGGGGTGCCCAACCTTTTTTGAACCGAGAGCTACTTTTAAAGTTGCCAGTCTGCCGAGATCTACCAGTCCAAATAGAGAGGCATTACTGACAGCCTACTACCAGGTAAATACACACTTCTACTTGTATTAAATTGACCTTTGTTCGATTAATACTTCATAAAATACTGCAGATCCTTTATCTTACCTCTTTTTAATCTACACACATACAAGTATTTAACTGAAGCTACACAACAGTGTCGTTGATACAGAGTTGGAGTTTATTCACACGTCACTACAGTGGGTCATGTTTTCAAGAAGCATTGAACAGTGCTGCCACATATGACTCAGGAACAAAAGACTCTGAACCCTTTCTTTGCCATTATATACAAATAGTGTTGCTCCAAAAGTAGAAATGAGGCTTACTAATAAGACGACTCAGATCTGAAGCTACTCAGGAATCTGCTGCCAACGTGCAATAAAAGAGACAACATTAATAGAATCAAATCCTTTTTTTGTTGCATTTTAGTAGATTATAACAAGAAATGCCTTTTTAATAGGATGCAAGCAACTCTAGTTTCTTAACCTGAATTGATAATAGACTATAATCAATTTAAGTTTGCATTCTTATACCATTTTGTACAATAATTATAATGAATAAGTTCAAACAAACTAAAACTTACAGCTGATTAATAACGGTATCTAACTTGAGTTTTTATCAAAAACCTGTTGAAATGCTACTGTTATTTTTACTGTCCCCAAAAAGCGCGTCGGCAGCCTCCAGGAATGCTTCTTTCACAACTTCGCCGTCTTTGAAAGACTTCAAGTGTTTCTCAAGAACGTGACTGACACGATAAGATGCTCTGGTAGCAGCCTTGCTCTTGTTGTTGGGCCGGGTGGAAATGGACTGCTGTGCATTTAGCTGTCCTTTCAGGCCCCTCCCCTTTTGGAGCGTAGGGCAGAATCAGGAGGGAATTCCGTCTCGTAACGTGTGCACTGTTTTGAAATGCCGCTCCTAAATGACCCTTCTTCGATAAAGCCATGCTCGCATTGCAGATGAGACAGATGGACTTTGAATTGGAATAGATACAAAAATCATCATCCTCCCACTCGGAGTGAAAATTATATATTTTTTGCTTCTGCCATAATTGCGGTCTTGTGTGTGCGGACTGTCACTCCTGTTGACACGGACAACGTTAGCGAACTAGTGCACTGCCCACCAGCCACGCCCCGACACATGGGGTCACGCCGGCCAATCACAAAGCTTTGATGCGTTCAAGTGCATTATTCTGGCACAGGAAGATTATGTTATAGGACATTAACGATAAAACTGAATATTGTTGTTCTATTTTTAGACACATCTCGCGATCGACTGGGAATCTCCCCGCGATCGACTGGTTGGGCACCCCTGGTGTAGAATCATAAAACAGTAAAGGCTTCTTTCCCCAAGTCACAATCAGTCACACAGCAACGAATCCTGTGTTAATCTCTGCTCTGTGTTTAATGTCCGTGTTCAATGTCTGTGTTCAATGTCTGCGGTGTGTTCAATGTCTGTGTTAAATGTCTATGTTTAATGTCTGTGTTTAATGTCTGTGGTGTGTTCAATGTCTGTGTTAAATGTCTATGTTTAATGTCTGTGTTTAATGTCTGTGGTGTGTTCAATGTCCCTCCCTCAGCCGGCTCCCTCAGCGCTCACCACTTCTTCTCCTCTCGGCCCTCGGAGCTCTGCTGCCTCCTGGTGGACGGAGGCTTCTCCTTCACGCACATCATCCCATACTGCCGCAGCAAGAAGATGAAGGAGGGCATCCGCAGGTCAGGAAACACACAACCACTAACCATCACAACCACTAACCATCACAACCACTAACCATCACAACCACTAACCATCACAACCAGTAACCATCACACCCAGTAACCATCACACCACTAACCCTCACAACAGGTACCATCACAACCCACTAACCATCCATCACAACCAGTAACCATCACAACCACTAACCATCACAACCACTAACCATCACAACCAGTTACCATCACAACCACTAACCATCAATCACAACCAGTAACCATCACAACCATAACCATCACCCACTACCATCACACACAACAAAACCGTTACCAGCACAACCACACATCACAACCACTAACCATCACAACCACTAACCATCACAACCAGTAACCATCACAACCAGTAATCACAACCACTAACCATCACAACCACTAACCATCACAACCAGTAACCATCACAACCACTAACCATCACAACCAGTTACCATCACAACCACTAACCATCACAACCAGTAACCATCACAACCACTAACCTCACAACCAGTTACCATCACAGACCACTAACCATCACAAACCACTAACCATCACAACCAGTAACCATCACAACCAGTTTACCATCACAACCACTAACCATCACAACCACTAACCATCACAACCAGTTACCATCACAACCACTAACCATCAACAACCACGAACCATCACAACCAGTAACCATCACAACCAGGTAACCATCACAACCACTAACATCACAACCAGTAAACCATCAAACCAGTACCATCACAACCACTAACCATCACAACCACTAACCTAACCATCACAACCAGTAACCATCACAACCAGTTACCATCACAACCACTAACCATCACAACCAGTAACCATCACAACCAGTTACCATCACAACCACTAACCATCACAACCAGTAACCATCACAACCAGTAACCATCACAACCAGTAACCATCACAACCACTAACCATCACAACCACTAACCATCAAAACCAGTAACCATCACAACCACTAACCATCACAACCAGTAACCATCACAACCACTAACCATCACAACCAGTTACCATCACAACCACTAACCATCACAACCAGTTACCATCACAACCAGTAACCATCACAACCAGTAACCATCACAACCACTAACCATCACAACCACTAACCATCACAACCTATAACCATCACAACCTATAACCATCACAACCAGTAACCATGACAACCAGTAACCATCACAACCAGTAACCATCACAACCACTAACCATCACAACCAGTAACCATCACAACCAGTATAAATAATGTATTTGTCTGTTTTGCCTTACAGGGTGAATGTAGGAGGGAAGCTGCTGACCAATCACCTGAAGGAGATCATCTCATATCGGTAAGATCTACTCTGTTATCTGTGATCTACTATAACCCCGTAATCTCCTGGTATCTCAAATGGTAAATGGACTGTACTTATATGGCGCTTTATCCAGTCTTTACGACCCCTCAAAGCGCTTTACATACTACATGTCGTTCACCCATTCACACAGAGCAGTGTTCCTGACTCTAGGACCTAACATTCACACAGAGCAGTGTTCCTGACTCTAGGACCTAACATTCACACAGAGCAGTGTTCCTGACTCTAGAACCTAACATTCACACAGAGCAGTGTTCCTGACTCTGGACCTAACATTCACACAGAGCAGTGGTTCCTGACTCTAGAACCTAACACTTCACCACAGAGCAGTGTTTCCTGACTCTAGGACCTAACATCACACAGAGCAGTGTTCCTGACTCTAGGACCTAACATTCACACAGAGCAGTGTTTCCTGACTCTAGGACCTAACATTCACACAGAGCAGTGTTACTGACTCTAGGACCCCTAACATTCACACAGAGCAGTGTTCCTGACCTCTAGGGACCTAACATTCACACAGGAGCAGTGTTCCTGACTCTAGAACCTAACATTCACACAGAGCACCTTACTCTAGAACCTAACATTCACACAGAGCACCTTACTCTAGAACCTAACATTCACACAGAGCAGTGTTCCTGACTCTAGGACCTAACATTCACACAGAGCAGTGTTCCTCACTCTAGGAACCTAACATTCACACAGAGCAGTGTTCCTGACTCTAGGACCTAACATTCACACAGAGCAGTGTTCCTGACTCTAGGACCTAACATTCACACAGAGCAGTGTTCCTCACTCTAGGACCTAACATTCACACAGAGCAGTGTTCCTGACTCTAGGACCTAACATTCACACAGAGCAGTGTTCCTGGACTTCTAGGACCTAACATTCACACAGAGCAGTGGTCCTGACTCCTCTAGAAGAGCAGTGTTCCTCCTGACCTAGACCTAACATTCACACAGAGCAGTGTTCCTGACTCTAGGACCTAACAGTTCACACAGACAGTGTTCCTGACTCTAGGACCTACATTCACACAGAGCAGTGTTCCTGACTCTAGGACCTAACATTCACACAGAGCAAGTGTTCCTGACTCTAGGACCTAACATTCACACAGAGCAGTTGTTCCTGACTCTAGGACCTAACATTCACCAGAGCAGTGTTCCTGACTCTAGAACCTCACATTCACACAGAGCAGTGTTCCTGACTCTATGACCTACAATCACACAGAGCAGTTCCTCACTCTAGACCTAACATTCACACAGAGCAGTGTTCCTGACTCTAGGACCTAACATTCACACAGAGCAGTGTTCCTGACTCTAGACCTAACATTCACACAGCGCAGTGTTCCTGACTCAGGACCTAACATTCACACAGAGCAGTGTTTCCTGACTCTAGGACCTCCTAACATTCACACAGAGCAGTGTTCCTGACTCTACATTACATTACATTTACATTGCATTTAGCTGACGCTTTTGTCCAAAGCGACTTACAATAAGTACATTCGACCAGGAAGACACAACCTTGAAGAAAACAGAATCATATAAAGTACATCAGGTTCTAGAGCTAAACATTTCAAGTGCTACTCACTGGCTTTAGGTAATCCAGTCCTTTATTAGTATAAAAGTGCTTCGTTAATCGTTCTAACAGCTGCTGAAAGTGGAGTCGAAAGAGATGAGTTTTCAGTTTGCGGCCGGGAAGATGTGCAAGCTATCTGCCGTCCTGATGTCAATGGGGAGCCTCATTCCACCATCTTGAGCCAGGATAGCAAACCCACGTGTTTTTCGCCGATGGGAACTTGGGTCCCCCCTCGCAGCGAGGGCGCAACGAGTCGTTTGGCTGATGCAGAGCGTAGTGCACGCGCTGGGTGTACGGTTTACCAATGTCCTGGATGTAGGAAGGGCCAGATCCATTCGCAGCACGGTAAGCAAGTACCAGTGTCTTGAAGGGGATTCTAGCAGTTACCGGAAGCCAGTGAAGGGAGCGGAGGAGCGGAGTGGTGTGGGAGAATTAGGAAGGTTGAAAACCAGACGAGCCGCTGCATTCTGGATGAGCTGCAGAGGTCGGATGGCACATGCAGGTAGACCACCAGGAGGGGAGTTGCAGTAGTCTAGGCGTGAGATGACGAGAGCCTGGACCAGAACCTGAGTCCGCTTTCTGAGTCAGCCTGGGGACGTATCTTCCTGAGTGTTGTAAAGCGTGTATCTGCAGCAGCGGGTTGTAGCAGCGATGTTTTGCAGTGAAGGACATGGTTGTTATCTAGGGTCACACCCAGATTCCTTGCAGTCTGAGTCGGGGGAACAACTGAGGTGCCGATGTTGATTGTCCAGGTCAAGAGTTGGACAATCTTTTCCCGGGAGGAAAGAGCACCTCAGTCTTGTCAAGGTTGAGCTTGAGGTGGTGAGCAGCATCCACTGAGAGATGTCAGCTAGACAAGCAGAGATGCGTGCGACGACCTGGGTC